CTTTGATTAAGTTCAATGTTGGACCACAATGTTTGTGGGTTGGCACATAAGAGACTAGGGCATGGGAAGTCATAGACTTGGTATTAGCGATAGAAACAGGGTAGACGTGACGGAGACTGGAGTTAATTGGCTAACAGTAGGTCTCTTTATCCATAGACATGGTCCATGGAGCAAAGGCGCGTGACCATGAGACTTACTAAGAGGCTTTAGCCTGTAAGTAATCCCCCATACAGAGGGGAACGCGAATAACACCTCGAGCAGCACAGATGGGGTGGCAGGGGTTGAGTGAACTATGTGAACTAGGGAGAGAGTAGATGGATCTTACGGGGCAAGATAGTCACTATGATAATACCTAGGGAAGGAGGATTGCGTTACAATATGGCGTACTCTGATCAACATTCCCAGCACACGGATGAAGGGAGGTGAAAAGGCCAGCGTGAAATGCGGAGGGTTCTCATGAAAGCCGCTCAAAATGGCATACCATACCACATTTAATTAAGCAAGTAAAAATTGTGACAGTGAAGGCGTTATAGGAGGATATAAGAAATGTAAATAGGCCAGTTTCCACAACTGTTTAGCACACGTTTGGTCAGAGGATCGGCCTCACTTGTCCCTTTTGACGAGTTGTGTGGTGAAAAGAATGGCGAGACTCATTGATGATGCCGACTACTATGCCGGCGAAACGTCTGGGAATATACCACGTCCACGGTCTTACTTTGCAAATGATCATGCATACAATGGACTTTGGATTAGGTGCGCTCCTCTTAGTCTTCTTACCAATATGACCAAGTTGCGAAAACAAGGTCAAACAACCTCTATTGACTCGTTTATTCATTTTTATACTCGATGGATAAATAAAAAAATAAATGAAATTCTGGTCTGTATTCAATGCAACAAATTTGTCCTCATTCCTGTTATAGCCCATCCCGCATGGTTTTCCTGTTTCCTCGCGTTATGGCCTCGGTTCTAGTGGTCACCGAGTAGGGGGATCATCACCTTCCTCAGGCAGTGGCAACTCAGTTTCCACTTCAGCCGCAGTCGTAAGTCAGTCAGCTGGAATCAGTTGTGTCAGTGCCACTGCTAGTGGTGTTAGTGCATCTGGACATCTGGGACATATGCATCACGGACATGCTCACGGGCACCAGTCTTATATGCATCAGCAACAACATCAACAGCAGCAGCAACAACAAATGCAGCAACAGCATCATCTACATCAGCAACTGCGATTTAACCAACACCAGCACCATTATTCCGCTGTTAGCCCTATAATGGCAGCTATTGCTTCATCTGGCCATGGCATGCATGGGACACCAGGGGCAATGAACCAGGCTTTTGTAATTGGCCGTCCTACTGACTGGACTATACACGAGGAGGCTGCTCTTTTCCAGGTAGGCCTGAGATCTGACTTGCCATGGTTTTGTGTTCACTGTTCATTATTCAATAGGCCAATCGAAGGCACAAAGACCATGATGATGTGGTGCCTATTTTGGTCGCGGCCTTCTTTGGTTATGTAGATGTGGTCTGATCTCGTTTTCGCGATCGGTCGCGTTGCCAAAGGGCCCTATGCCAACTCCATTTGTCTAGAATCTTCTGTCATAATAATCATGATAATTTCCAGCGTCGGACAATCGACTTGATACATTCCCTGACTTTGACATCGACAGTGAGACTGGCTCTTTTTAGCACAAAACTGTAAATTGTTGAAGCGATAAATCAAGCCTATCTCTTAATCAACTTTCTGCCGAACAGTTGTGTTATAATTCACATATCATATTTCCCCATTCATTATTACTCCTTCTGACTTGCTTATTTTCGTCTACTCTAATGATCTGCCCTTTTTAGCGGATCTTGTGGAGCCGATTATCGCTCCCTGCTTGTTTCCTCTTACCCACTCTGCTTGATATCTCGTCCTAATTCGGCTCTTTCGATCTGCAATCTAATTCATCTTATTCCTATCACGTCCTAATGAACACTAGGCGTATGTGGGACCGGCGACGGGTCTTCTATGTTATATAGGTGAACTGACAGGACCCAGGTAAAATAGACTACAGATCGAAATGATCAAATTAGATTCGCATTTCAACCAGAATGAAGTGCAAGGAGACAGTGGGAAGTGTGAATAGTCCTCATTAAATCTACCCCAAAGGTCACGCTATTGGAATAGGTGAAAAGAGTCAGGCTAAATTTGATCATGAAAGAGTATTACGAGGATATAATTAACTAACCGATAGTTGGTCAATCGGTGGAGATCAAGGCGCGTTCAACTATTCTTCTAAAGACTCGACCAAATTGCAAAAATTAGGTCAAGCTAATTATATGTTTTACTGTTTTTCCTGCACATCCCTTGCGTTAATATTTAATAGTTTACTTTTTCCGTAAAATTTAATCATTTTTTTATTTTACTTCGAAATCATTCTATTTTACCCATTTTCCCAAATAAGTATCTGACAAAAATACAAGAACTTT